ATGGATGGATGGATGGAGGGGTGGTTGGATGGATGGATGGATGGATAACGGATAGAGGGATGGATGGATGGAGGGGTGGAGGGAGGGGTGTATGGATGGAGGGATGGATGGAGGGGTGGTTGGATGGATGGATGGAGGGGTGGATGGATGGATGGATGGATGGATGGAGGGGTGTATGGATGGAGGGATGGATGGATGGATAACGGATAGAGGGATGGATGGATGGAGGGGTGGAGGGAGGGGTGTATGAATGGAGGGATGGTTGGATGGAGGGGTGGATGGATGGAGGGGGGGGGGATGGAGGGATGGAGGGGTGGATGGAAGGAAGAATGGGGAAGGGGAGGGATGGAGGGATGGGACTTGAAGGGGAAAGTGACCTCCTTTCTGTCATTTTTGCTTCCTCTTTCTTCTCTCTCCTGCTTAGAGGTGTAGAACTAACTCCTTGGCTCCAGGCTGGTGCTCTGAGCCTGGTATCACCATGGGCCACTGTGTCCTGTGCCCTTTGCCGTGTTGGCGTCTGCTCTGTGTGGCGTTGGGGTGGGTCATACAAGAGCTGGCTAAGGAAGCTGGAGTCTACCCGAGCATGGTCTGAGCCAGAGAAATGTCGGTCATTATTCCTAGGATGTAGTTGTTACCATGTCAACCCCATTGCTGATGCTCCTTTCCTGAAATGCGGGTGTCAAACCTCAGAGGAAAGAAGCTGAGTAAGAGGGTCCCTCCCTCCTGAGAGGATAGTGCCCTCCCCTCTCCAGACATGCACGCACACACACCTGCACGCACCTGGAGCCCATGCACTCTGCTCACACCTGCCAGTGTTTGGGGGGCAGCAGCCTGCAGGCTGCTGGGGCAGACACGAGTCTCCAAATATAACTCTCATTTTCTCTCCTCTGTCTCTGCTTTAGTTGCAGGAACTTGGTCAGTTTAAAGGATTTAATAAATCCGTGGAAAATTTGTTTCTGTCTGTTACCACCCACATGAAAAGTAAGTGGATGCCTCTCTATGTGTTCTCCCCACCACCAGCCAGGCCAGCCAAGCCCACCGGCCAAGGGGACCTCTGTCTCCAGCTCCTGGGGAGAGCCACAGCCCCAGCCCTTCACCCCTCCACCTGCAGAGCAGGCCTCTGGTTTCCTGGGGGTAGAGGAGACCCCCTTCGGCCCCTTGGACTGGCTTAGTTTACCCCCACTGCTGCCCAAACCTGGCAGAGCTCAGCGCTTGGTGGGAAGGAGTCGGCTTGGACCAGTGCAGGCAGGTGCCAAAGGCCCTCCCATGGCCCCACAAAGACAGGGGGGTGGGACAGCTCCAGTGAATGAGATCTGGGAGGGAGCTCTCCCGCCAGGCATGGCCCCGCGTCTGTCGTTTGCGCGGAACTGCTTGTCCGTTCTTCTTTCCGTCTTGGTCAATTTATCTTCTTCAATGGGCAGTAATCATGTGATTTGCAGATGCAAGGGACCCAGAACTACCACTGCTTAGAATCTTGCCTCTTTCAATGTTCTTTCTGCTCAGATATTCTTCCCTGTTGATCTTAAACCGCAAAGCCCAGAGAATAGCCCCTGCGCAGGCCTGCAAAAGTGCCCAGAGAGACGGTCCCTGGGGGCGGGGGGCAGGGGGTCTCAGGCACCCACTCCCTTTCACAGTGCTTCTGTTTGGCTTCTACCCATGCCGGTGCATAGGGATGGGCTCAGTGTTGTCCCTTGGCCTTGAGACAGTCTTATTACTTGATTTTAATTAGTTCTCCGTATTCCCCACAAGCCCTTCTGAGTTGCCTCGTGACAACTCAAATCAAAGCACCACTTTTCAGACAAGCAGAAAGGTGGCTGTCTCACAAGACAGTCTGTCCCCCTCTGCTTCAGAAAGATGACGAAGCAGCCAAATTTCGTGCCGCCTGCTTGCTAACAGAGCTCGGAGGTTTAAAGTCACCCCGTTAGTCTGCCTGGCTTTCAGACAACATCCGCCCTCCGTGTGCACCAGCCTTGGACGTGGGTTTCCAGCTGTAAGAGCTGCCTGACTTTCAGACAACATCCGCCCTCCGTGTGCACCAGCCTTGGACGTGGGTTTCCAGCTGTAACAGCTGCCTGAACTCTGAGTCCCTGGCTCTGTTCCTGCTGCCGCTCTTCTTGCCGAGATTTCTCAGCGTCTCTTTCCAGAAGCACAGCCTCTACCCAAATCCACGCGGCTTCTGTGAATCCCCTCCCACCGCCATATTCTGGAGTCCTGCCTCAGCGTTCACTCTGACCTGGTAATCCCTCAGCCAGACACCCAGAGAGGCAGGACACACCCTCTGACGCATGCTGGGACCCACACACGGGTACGCTTGGGTGGCTTACGTACCCATAGCCCCGCCTGAGACAGGCTCACCCGTTTGAGACTTGCCAGTTTAATACCTTGAGTGTAATGATGATGCCATCTGTATAAATCAGCAGACCCAGGTGGAGAGCCGAGGCTAATCCCTGGGCGGGGGCGGGGTGGAAGGTTCCAAAGAGCAGAGCAGCATTGAGTCTCTGCCACGAGACATGGATCGAACCCCTTAACCTGTACCCCCTCCCTGCTTGTTCAGGCTCTAGTACTTCATGGGATGCCAAACCCTCAGCCCAGAGGCAGGGATGAAAAAAACCCAGCTTTCTGGGCCCGTGGGAGGGATGGTCTGCCCACCGGCTCTCCCAGGTGGTCCGGGGGCTTCGGGAAGGGGCACAGACTACACACCCTTCATTGGGTCTCTGCCTCAGGGCGCGCAGCAGGGTGGGGCTGACTCCCGTTTCTTCAGGTCCTCAGCTGGTGGGCACATGTCCCTCTTGATCCTTTGTGCAGCCTGTTTCCTACAGAAGTGGTACAGAGGACAGCCTCTTTCTGGTGTCACCTGGGGTCTCTGGGGGGACGGCTGGAGGGGGCGTTGGCCCGAAGAGTTTGGGAAGCTGCCCCAGGGCTACAACCCCTGGCAGCTGAGGTTGCCCAGGGAAGCCAATCCGGCGGGAAGAAGTAAGCAATTCCAGCCCTTTTTATTATGGCTGCATTTCTAGGAGATTCCAGCACCCTGGCCCCACTTTGAAGGGGAGAAGGAATAAGAACGTTGATTTTCGCGTCAGGGAAGCCCTTCTGTGCTTCTTGCTGTTAGTTTTCCTTTTCACCCGATAATGCCGATTCCGAGCCTAGTCGTTAGAAGCTGAATTGCTTGGGAGGCGCCCCCACCTGCCTCGTCTGTGAACGTAAGTGGACCAGATGAAGGCACAGGCTCTGGGGTGAGTGTCATACAGATGGCAGGGGGAGGACACCGTCCCCCAAGGCAGGGGCTTCTCCTCCTGGGGCCCTCACACCCTTCGTAGCGGGGCTGGGGTTTGGCTGTACGAGGAGTTCATGTTCACTGTCAGCTTCAAGGGTCTGGTGTGTGCCGGGACGCTGCTAGCTTCTGGGCGCAGAAAGATGCCCCACGGTTTCCGGAGGGTAGACCTGAGGACAGTGTGGACAGTAGTGCTCTCACGCAGGAGAAGTTCCACACATCCTGGTGGGAAGGAAAATGCCCTGAGGTTTTGGGGGCCAGGTGAGGTTCTCCTCTAGAGAAAAGAGACGCTCTGCAGACGTACGCCCTGGCAGCACATGCAGGAGGTACCCAAGAAATAGCATCTCAAGGAGTGGATCAGGAGACAGGAGGCTCTGGAGCCGGGCTGTCCAATATGCTAACAGCAGGTGGCTCCTGAAATATGGCCTGCCCGAAAAAAGGGTAAAATACACACCAGATTCCAGAAACTTAGTGTTAAAAAAAAAAAGTAAAAATTTCATTAATTGTACAGCATGGGGAAAACAGTAATATTGAAACAATCTTACATGGGGAAGGATGGTAACTAGACTTAGTGGGGTGATTATTTCATAATGTGCACCAGAAACTAGGACGTATTCTGTGTCCATTACCCAATTAAAAATTTCATTAATTTTCATATTGATTATATATTTTAACAATATTTTGGGTATATTGTGTTACATGAAACAGTGTTAACATCAGTCTTACCTGTTTCTTTTTTAAATGTGGCTACTAGAAAATTTGAAATGGCATACGTGAGCAACATTATTATCTATTGGAGAGCGCTGCTTGAAAGATAGTTTTAAGGTCCTCTTTGAGAGAGACAAGGACCCCGGGGAAAAGGGAAGATGTTTTGGGGGGACAAAAATCATCTTTGAGGTGGTTTGCTCGCTTCTGGGTGTGGATTCCTTCCTTCTCACTTTATTCACCTTTATTCTTGGCCTCTATTACACTGCAAAAAGAAGTTGTATTTCCAGGGTTTGCTTATTAAAATAATTATAGGGGTACCCTGAATGTGCTTCCACCTCTCTTCAAAAGGTCCCAAGAGATGATATTTAGTTATAAGTCTTTGTAAGGAACCTCTAGAAAGCCGGCTGGTTTGTGAGGCTGCCTTTTTTGTGCTTGGACAACCGGCCGCTCATGGTGTGTGGCCCAGGATGCAGGGTAACCTGTCCGGAAGACCTCCTTCTAGCTCCCGCCATGACGGTGGCTCTCTGCTCACAGAAGCACGTGGCCACGGGGTCACCTTTTGGGAATCCGACTCTTCTGTCCCGTGCACGGCGCAGTGTGGCCCGTGTCCAGCACGCCGTGTCTGGGGACGCTCCCCCTGGCCCCGGAGCTGGGTGTTGGATGTGCCATCCTCCCCACACAGCAAGCCTCGCCTTGGGAGACCTTGGGGGCTCCTCTGGGTGTGGTTGCAGGGGCTCCCAGAGGAGGGCCCCATGAGTCTGTCAAAGCTGTGTGCTCCCCCTGTCATCCCTTGTATTTGTTTTCTAGAGCTTTCCAAGTCCCAGAACGACATGACCTCTGACAAGCAGCTCCGGGCCACGGGTCCCAGGCAGTGTGCTAGCCGGACGGAGAGGAGAAGCCAGTCTGACACTGCTATCAACGTCACCACCAGGGTACTCCCCAAGGCCCCCCCCGGGCCGCCCAGAGAGCCACTGCCTGCCCATTTCCTCTATAGATTTAGTCTTCCTCTTATTTTATAGCACCACATTAAGCAGTCTGAAAAAAAAAACATAATTATAAACCCCTCTCTATTGGGAAGGCCTGGCCAAATGACAGTCAAATTTCAGGGTCGATTTGGAAAATAGTTGAGAGCAGGGAAAAGCTTCAGCCTAATCCCGAGCCCCTGGGGCTTCTGGGTGTCTGCCGGAACTCCCTGCGGGCTTCAAGGCCACTCCAAAGGCAAGGGGCCCACCTGCAGGGCCGAGGTGGGCCAGGTGATTCCCTCATGGAGGGTCAAGAGGCCTTTCTACTTGGCAACAACCTCCAGTTAAAATCTGTCCTGGTCTCTGATAGAAACCACTAAAAACATAAATGCTGCATGACCCCCCGGCAATCACGAGGGAGGCGCTCTCCGGGTATCTAAGCCGCAAGAGAGAGCACACCTAATAAAGGCTTTTAAGGAAATAATTAGTCTGGCTTTCCACCAGAATTAATCAAGTCTGAAGCAGATGCGCTGGGACAGGGGAGAAAGCGACTTTAGAATCAGAACACCTGCATTCTGGTCCAGCTGAGGTGACTTGGCTAGGGCAGGTCCCACCACCTGGCTGTTGACAGGGTCAATAGGACCACTCTGGTTGGCTGGACAGGGCAGGTGCTCCTTCTCTGCAGCTGCGGGCTCCACTCACGATGTCCCCAGATAGACTGCTCTAGGCAAGAGGTTAGCCCCACTCTCCTGCGGGAACTTCCACACACAATCGCAAGGTTTCAGATTCTGCCTCCATCAGTGACCCTCTACCTTGGGCATGTCACGTGAACTCCCTGAGCATCGATATGCTCTTGGCGAAATGAAGCAGATAATTCTCGTTCTGCCCAAGGCACAGGTCGCTTGTAAAGATCCCCCGAGATAATACAGTATCTAAATTGCTACCTAAGCCATTTAAATCTTACTATGTGCCAGACTCCACTCAAGGCTTTCCCTGGATCATCTCATTTTATCCTCACACTATCCCATGAACCATGGATTGCATTTGACCCTGTTTTGCATTTAGGGAAACTGAGGCTTAGAGCGACGAAGTCACATGGCCGGGGTTACATAACCAGAAAGTGGTGGGCGGTCTTGCTTTGGAGGCTGAACTCTGGAGCAGCTGTTCTCAGGTTTAATGTGTGTATGAGTCATTTGGGAATGTTGTTGACACGCAGAGGCTGATCAGTAGGTTTAGGGCAGGTGTGAGATGCGGAGCGTCCGATGAGTTTCTGAGGAGCTGTTGGGTGAGCAGGTGATGCTGCTGCCGCCCCTGGGACCTCCCGAGATTGAGGAGACAGCATCGAGAGCATGTGAGATGTATTCGGGAGGCCTTTAAAACTCCGAAGTGCAAACAAGTGTTCGTTCCCGTGGGCACCCCGGGGTCTGCACAAACACCATCCCGGCCACCGTCCCTGAGTCAGCAGATGGAGCATAAGTTAGTGCGCATTCAGGAGACACTATGTTAATTCTTACAAAAGTACTGAGATAGATAATGTTACTCCCACGAAAAAGATCTAGAGCCTGAGCTTTAGCCATAGGGTAACCGTCCTAATAGATAGATAGGTAGATAGATAGGTAGATATAGATGGATAGATAACTAATTAAATGTGGAGCCAGGAGTAGGGTCCAGGTTTGTATGGTTCTAAATTCTATACTCTAGGTCCCATGTAAGGAGGACAAATGAGGGCCACAATCATTGGGATGAAGCCCCTGTGATGCTAACTCTCACTAAGGTTACCAGGCACCATTGTTGGCCTGCTGGGTAACTGCAAGGTTGTCTAATGGGACCAGGGAGCTTGAGGGTAGAAGCGAGGAAGACCAGGGACGGCCATGGCTAAAGAGCACCCATCCTGCAGACACTCCGCCATGCACGTCCAGTTTGCTGCCATGCTCTTGGCAGGACATGCTTTCTACTTTTTGCAGGCGTCCTCTCTCCCCACCTTACTTGAGGATATGGCTGTTTTAAGGAGCAATTTAGCCACCTGTTTATAAAGTCCTCAGCAATCATGGCCTGCTCTATAAATGCTAAATAATTACGGGGTTGAAATATAAAGGGTACATCTTTAAATAGGACGTTTGTCAGACTGCAATTACACATGCCCTAGCTGGCGAGCTCATAAAAGTCACACTCACATTTTCATTGGAGCACTCCGGAGCATTTTGCCAACATCAAGCACACGATGTGGTGCCCTTTGGGAGTAGGGACGTCAGTGCCCACTTTGCAGGTGGCTACACTGAGGCACAGAAAGAGCAGATAACTTTCTTAAGGCCACATCATGACGCTGGGCTGGTAACTGAGAAAGCAGCTCAGACTCGCTTCTCTGACCATTAAGTGTGAACGGCATGTTCTGGAAATGTCCTGTAGAGACCCTCCCTTCAGCATCTGGGCCAGGACTCTTGAGAGGCGACTTCTCTTCCCCATCCTTGGCGAGCTCCTGTGCATCCCCATGGGATTTTATTGCGCATCTTATTAATGTGTGGCGGATCTATAGTGGCCAAAAAGACACGCACCTGTTAACCAGGAAGGAAACACAAGAAGGGTTTGGGAGGGGCTATCTCTGAGGAGAGGGAACAAGGACGCAGGCGGGGAAGAAAGCTTTCTTTCATTCTATGCCCCTTCATGTGAAGTTTTCCCACGTAGGTCTGAAATCTGAAGAAACCACCGGGCCCCGGGCGTGGCGCTCCTGCATACCTCCTCTCCCTGCACCTGCTGGCCACACTCAAAGGCTGAGCAGCCAGAGGAGAAGAGGGGAGGCAGCAGCGTTGGGTTTAACCGTGCAAACACTTGGTCCTCAGACTTGAGGGCTGTGGATCCCTCCCGACCCCCCTGCCCCGGGATGGTCCTAGGAGATGCAGCCTCCCTCTCAGCTGGGATTCGACGTTGCTCAGAGCATGGCCTGTTGGCCGAGCCCAGCCCCTGGGTTTTCTGATACTTCAGCTGCTCAGTGTGGCAGTGGCCACTCCCTTTCTCTTATTTAAGATCAGCAAAAAAAAAAAAAAAAAAAAAATCCCAAAGGCACAGATTGTGTGGTTCCGGGGAGTCCATAATTTGATCAAGTCAAGCCTAATGTTTATTGATCTTTCAGCATAGAATATTAAACTTATTAACTCTGTGCAGAGTAGACCTCATTTGGGGCCATCATTTTTCTCTGTAATCTGGCCCAAACTAGATAGTTATCGAAATACATTAAAAATCACAGGGGGAAAAAAATGCCTGTCTCCACAAGGTCGATAAGCTGCTCTTTGAATCTCGATGCTCTTTAATGGCATGGACCTGACAAAGTCATCCAGGTCCTTCTGAATTTACTGGGGAAGAGTTGAACACGACATTTCAGGTTGATTCCTTAGTCAGAATAGGCATGTTCTTCAGAATAGTGTCGACTTTTCTAATAATTTCAAAATATGTATATTTGCACTTAAGCTTCATTAAAGGTTTTCCAGAATCCTAACATATTTAGAAGCACAATCATTGCTGGCTATGAATTCGATATGCCATGTGATCACTATTATAAGGATAGTTCTCTTTGTTCCTTTTCAGAACTTTCTGTCATCAGTATTTTTTTTTATGATTTAAAAACTGTGTTGCCTTAAGGAAAATGGAATTAAGTGATTATTGAACCCCTCAGTGTCACAAAGCTTTGTAGTAATATTTAGCTCATTTTATTCTTTCTCTGCCGGTCTGATGGCCGCCTTGTTTGCTGTTTTCAAATGGAATCTTCCGCACTCTCCAAGGCCATCCCCTGAAGCGCTCGGAGGGTGGAGGCCTTGCGGTAGGAGAACCCTCTGACTAATTCTTCCTTCCTACTTCCTCCCACTTGGAGTTTCTCGGGAAAACTTTCCTCCTGCCTCAGAAACGGACGTTCCTTCCCAGGCACGGGGTCCATCCTCCTCTCTCCCCTCTGGGACCTTGCTCCTTTAGCCCCACACTTACCCTGTCTCTGTTTCTCCTCAGCCTGCAAGTATGCCCCGACCTTCCCCACCTTAAAAAAAGGAAGCAGCATCTTTTGAAAGATTCCCTTCAAGCTGCTCTTCCATTCCTTTGTCACGGCCCAAATCCATGAAAATGCCCTCTGCTCTTGCTGTCACTGCACTTGCCCTGCTTTGCCCTCCCTCCTGTTCACTCCTAGCTTCCGTGCAGTCCATTCCCCATGCCAGTGTGACACTGCTCCCCGGGGCACCCCCAGGCACCCCTGATTGAAGAGCATGGTGGCCAATTTGAACATCATCCTCGTCAGTGACTTTGTCGCCTTTGACACAGTTGACCAGAATTCCATTCTTTTCTTTAATTACAAATGTGATTTTATTGCTTTTACATATAATAAAACCCATGCCTACACTAATGAGAATTTGGAAAACAGATGAGGAGGAGGAGGAAGGGAAGAAGAAAAAAGAGGCACAGCGTTGAGCCAGGACAGTCACTTGGAGTACACATGGACACTCGCTTTATGAAAATGGCATCATGGGGCGCCTGGGTGGCTCAGTCGGTTAAGCACCTGACTCTTGGTTTTTGGCTCAGGTCATGCTCTCAGGGTCATGAGATTGATCCCCGCATCAGGCTCCGCACTCAGCAGGGAGTCAGCCTGGGATCTCTCCCTCTCCCTCTGCCCCTCCTCCTACTCACTCTCTCTCTCTCAAATAAATAAATAAATCTTTTTTAAAAAGGCATCATGCCACACACATCCGCTTTTGTAATTTGCTTTCTTAAGAACCTCTAACATTATATTTTAATTCCTTCCATGTCAATGCATATATATCATCATTTTTTACAGCTACTTTTTAGGGCTTATAATTCATGCTGCCAAACTGCCCTCCTCTGGGGTTGACTCAGTTTACTTGACCACTAGAAGTGGAGTAGCCTGCTTTTCAGCACCATTGCTGGCACTAAATGTTACACTTTCTATTTTAATATTTGCTGATTTGATAGGCAATTTTTTAAGAAATCTGCATTTCTTTAATTTTAGGTGAGTCTTTTCTCATTCTCTTTTCTCCTCTTTGAACATCCTTCATCCCTGACATCTTCCCCTTGGATCTGGAACTCTTCCAGGCTGCTGTCTCCTCCCCTGGACCGGCTCTTTGGTGTCCCCAAGCTACCTGTTCTCTGGGCAACCTGACACATCAGGAATCTGTCTGGCCTCTTGAGTCTCTGCGGGTTGCATGGGTCGCTGGCAAGTGTAGGAACATGCTCTGTACTTGACCCTCGTGATGGGGCCTCCACTCGCGATGCCCCACCTTTGAGTCTCTTCCCAGCCAGGCTTCAACCTCCCACTCAGGTCGTACTTCCCCCAAAGATCATCCCGACACCCTCTTCTGCATCAGCTCTCCCTCCCCCCCTCTTTTCCATTGACTTGGCTTGTGACTCCATTTCAGTGGTGTATCTATTTCTGACCAGCTAGGCGAACCCCTGGAGGGCGGACAGTGCATCTCCTCCTTCCCCTTCTCTGTACCCATACCCCCCTTTCCGCCCCAGTACTTGGAGCGGTGGGTCAAAGATAGTGTTGCTTAACACATGTCGGACGGACTTGAGCTGGCGCTCCGGGGATCGAGAGCATAAACCGTAAGAATAATCTGGAGCTAATCACTTCTTTCACTTGCTCGCTAATATTCTCAGTCTTTCATTCCCGAAAATTACAACTACGCTGCAAATGTTGTATTTCCGAGTCCCACTTCCAACCCGGCATCAAAACCTGAAGTCTAGATTCAGAAACTTCGTGTGTTCAGCCAGGAAGAGGTTTCCTACCTTGTGCAGTGTGTTTGGGAGTTTCTAACCTCTGCCACGTGTGGCTCCTGAGCATTTGAAATGTGTCTAGTGCAACAGAGGAGCCAAAATTATTGACTTTATCTGCTTGTAATGAATGGGAATTTAAATTTGAATGGCCACACTTAGCTAGTACCTACCACATTGGAAAGCACAGCTGTGTACATTCTAGAAGAGGTACCGACTATTAAAGTGTTTTGATAAAATTAAGAGACATTTTGATTTTTCCCTTTTTCATAAGCACATTAGAGCTTAAACTGATAGGCTAAATATTGGATTTCATGTGATTTAATGCAGGGATCCTTATTAAGGTCAAAGTGTGGACTTAACTTCTTTAAGACTTATTAATCCATAAGTGATCCACCCACCACTGCTCATGAATAGCCCAGTGCTTGCTGGTGCCTGCCGGGGCCCCGCGGGTGTGTGTGTATGCATTTATCCAAGCAGAAATGTGCTCTCTTGCTCGGCACCCAGAAGTTTGCGAATGAGTGCCATCGGGTCATGGATGCAGGCTCTGGTTGCTGTAGTTACCACATTTGAACAAAATCACACTGGGACGCAGACCCCATTATTAATTATGTGTTTCCTTTTCTGGAAGGCAAGCATGCCGGATATTCTGAAACCTCTCAATCAAGAGAGTCCCAAACGCCTTACTAGCCCTGTTTTGAAGCAAGAGGATCTCTCATCCACGCCAACGCCCAGCGCTTTATTCTCAGGAGGTTTGAGACACGTGAGTCTCTTCTAATTCCCTGGACCCATGATGCGTGCCTGTCAGTGTGATGTCGGGTTGGGTTGGTAAGCAAGGGTGGGAGGGAAATGTTGTCCTGCAGGATGAGCTGGAACAGGACAGCAGGACTTGGAAGTAATATTTTCCCTACACGGGGAGCGGGGGAAACCTGGCTATACTTTGATGGTTTCTCTTTTATACACACAAATTTGATAATAAATAATGGTATCTTTGGATGAGAAGTTTTTACTTTCCAAGACATGTAATTTATCAGGTATTTCTCTTACAATTATTTCTGGACCCACAAGTCATGAAGCCATCCTCCTCTTTTCTTCTAGAAGCTTTATGAAAGTTTCGTTTTTATGTGTAGGTCTGTGCTCCAGCTCCTTGATGTTGTGAATGATGGTGTAGGTTGAGGCTCCTTTTCCCACATGGATACTCAGTTATTCTAGCACCATTTATTTAAAAAAAGGCTCTCATTTCCCCCATTGACTTTGGTATCTTTGTTGAAAATCAAGTAACCATGTAAGCATGGGTCTTTTTCTGGGTTCTCTGTTCTGCTCTGACCTTTCCATGTGTGCTGTGGCGAGACCACCCCGTCCTGATTACGGTAGGGAGCTGTGAAGTCGGGTAGCGTGGGTCCTCCAGTTGTGCTCTTCTTTTTCAAAATATTTTAAAGATCGTCTCTGGGGGCGCCTGGGTGGCTCAGTCGGTTAAGCGTCTGCCTTCGGCTCGGGTCTTGATCCCGGGGTCCTGGGATCGAGCCCCGCATCGGGCTCCCTGCTCTGCGGGAAGCCTGCTTCTCCCTCTCTCACTCCCCCTGCTTGTGTTCCCTCTCTCGCTGTGTCTCTCTCTGTCAAATAAATAAATGAAATCTTAAAAAAAAAAAATAAAGATCGTCTCTGTTAAGAGGCAGGCCTTTTAGTCATTCATTTGTTTATTTGAAAACATCGAAGGAATGCTGGCTTTATGCCTGAGACTGTGGTATGTGGTGTGACAGAGCCTCAGAGGACGGGTCACCTCACTGTCATAGCTCTTGAACTTACTAAATAATCTTAGACAATCACAAAGACTCTCCAAACATCAGAGTCCTCATCAAGGAAATGGGTATCAAGCTTGTTCTTTTTATTTCACTGGGTCGTGTTGAGAATCAAAATGCACTCATTCCGTGGTGTTGTTAGAGTGGTTAAGAACTCAGCTTCTAGAAACCACCTTCTTGGTTCACATTCCAGCTCCCCTAGTGTGACCCAGAGTGTACCCTTCAACCTCTCTGTGCATTGGGGCGGTTGGGTTTTTACGGAAAATGGCATTCACTTTAGAAAATGATAAACTTCCCTCCCTCCCCCCACTACATGAATATCTGGTGGAATGTTAAGAAGTCGAGGCAGAAGCGGGCCAGACTGAGCGCTGAAGGATGGCTAACATCCTTGCCTCGGTCCACTGAATGCTGGCGGCCCCCACCCCACCCGTCACTGAGTGCGCCTGCCTCTCTCCGCGCCACTACTCTGCACCCTCACTCCTCACAATGTGGGGCCCAGCAGCGCTGGCATCACCTGGGACCTTCCAGAAATCAGGGTCTCTGGTCCCGCCCCAGACCTACTGGGTCAGCCTCTGCAATCTAACAAGAGCCACCTTGCCCGGGAAGCCTACCCCCTGCCCTGCCTGCCGTCATCCTTCCCTTCTCTCTGTTACTCCTGGTCTCCTCACCTTCTACCGTGTCCTTGCTTTCCCTGCGGGGAATTGTCTACTGTAATTCCGGTGCCCGAGCTGCACCTGCCACGGAAGGAGCACTCGGCAAAAACTTGTGGGACCATGGCACGGCTCCTTACCCGACCGACTGTGGATGGAAAGCCTACTGTGCGCAAACCCCTGAGCCAGGTGCTTCCCCATCAGTCGTTTGCACAGCGATCTTGCCAGGTGGACACTGCTACCCCATTTCTCAAGTGGGGAAACCTGGTTCCCAGAGGTCGAAGCGAACAGTAACCTCGGAGCTCTGACTCAACACCCGGGAGCCGTGTGAGTCAAAGCCCGGGCTCTGTGTGCTGGCCCCCGGATTTGGTGAGCTCTCCAAGGGAGGGGGTTCCCTGGCCGCACCCCTGGTTCAGGTGCACTTGCCTGGGGTGGACCCACACCTAGTAAACCTTTCCCACTGGTGGGAAATGCTGCAGCGGTGAGGAGAAGTGGGTGAGCGTGTGTCTCTCACCCAGGCTCGGTTTCTTAGGGCAAGTCCTTCGAAGCCACCCCGCAAATTCAACACGGTTCCCTTTTCCCTGTCTTCTGTCTGGTGTGCTCTGATTTGTGCCCTTCAAGGTACCCTCGTGAGGTTGAGTTATTCTGTGATTACGCCTCACCTGTTCGCTTTAGACTGAAGCAGTGTTTGTCTGAGGAAACTAAACTCCCACAAAGCAAATACTGATTATTGCTTCGAGCCCAAGGATGTTGCCCATTCTCCTGACAGACATTGACATTCTTTGAGAAGCAGGAAGTCAGGGCCAGGAAAAGCTTTACTAAATCTCTGCTTAGTACAAGAGGAGAAATACAAAGGGGCGTTAAGCAGGGGAAACAACCTCCCAGGTCGTTAAATCAGTGCAAAATGAAAGCAAGTGCTATTTTGGGGGTCATCTTAGCCAATTTTAGAAGCAATAGGGGTCAGTGTGGGCAAGGGTGTGGAGTGGCAGACATTCTTAGAAACTGCTTGGTATGTTTATTCAGAGGAATATTTATAGCTATGAAAAATAACGTTGAAGAATATTAATATAGAAAATACACATTGGTAAATGAGCCTATAAGGTTACAAAATAGTATTATAGGAGGGGCGCCTGGGTGGCTCAGTTGGTTAAGCGACTGCCTTCGGCTCGGGTCATGATCCTGGAGTCCCGGGATCGAGTCCCATGTCAGCCTCCCTGCTCGTCAGGGAGTCTGCTTCTCCCTCTGACCCTCTTCCCTCTTGTGCTCTCTGTCTCTCATTCTCTCTCTCTCTCTCAAATAAGTAAATAAAATCTTTAAAAAAAAAAAGTAGCACATATTTATAAAAACAAAATGGTTCTACTACAGACATTGCAAACAAGTGAAAGGATTATACCAAAATTTGACCCCGGAATGATGGGGTTATGCTTTTCTCTTAAAATTTTTCTGGGGGCTCATCTGTATTTCCTGTATTTTTTCCATAAGTGTGTAATGTTTTGGGAGGAAAAAAATAGTTTGCTTTACAGAAAAAAAAAAAAAGAAAGAAAAATCCAATCAGAAGGAGTGGGAACTTGGTGGTGTGAAGAAATACATTAATTTTTTAGACTTCCTACGGGAGAAAAATTCCTACCAGAGTTCCTGTCTGGTTTTTAATTTTGTTTATACTTCTGTTTAAAAAACATCTAAAAAGGAATGCATTTATATCAGTGTTTTCATGGAGTTTACATTTTTCCTGCCAGAAGGTGTTGTGATTGGCTGGAGTGACCACGGGAAGTTCACTTTGGAACTCCTTAGATATGGAGGTTGGCAGAAGTTTGAGAGGGAGCAGATTTTTAATCAAAGAATTAAAAAGTCCAACTCCCCAGGTGTTTTCTTTAAAGATAAATTTGAGACGTGGGATGTCATCCTGGCATTTGGGTCACTTCTAAATAGGGACTGGCTCAAAATGTTCGCTCGGTCCATCATACAGAGGTGTGTGTGGAAATTCTTCATTTTTCCATTAATATTTCTGAATTTGTCTGGCTCTACTGATTTTTTAAAAGAGTATTGTATTTAGCTATCTACCCATATTAATGTGTTTTTGTTGAAAAACAGAATAAAAAAGGATGACTATATTATGGCCTATTCATCTAATGGAATACTGTTTTGGGAGTGACAATGAATGAGCTCAAACCACACCTGACCACGTGGATGAATTTAAAAAACAGAATATGTGCACAGTAGGAATACTAATTATATAAATTCCAAAATCAGGTGAAACCAACCAATATGTGGTTTGGGGGATATATACATACGTATTAAAACCATAAAGAAAAACAAAGATGATTAACAGGAAACTTTGAAACAGCATTTACTCAGGGACAAAAATGAGAAGAGACTGGACGGGGCGGGGTGGGGGCAGGGCCCTTCTGAGGTCCTGCTTATGTTATTTTCCTCCAGCTGAGTGGTGGGGCACATGGATGTTCATTTTATAGTTACTATTTAACTAGAGGTATCCATTATATGCACTTTTAATATATGTTTCACAGTAAAAAAAAAAAAGAAAGGGAGAAAAACAAAGGAAATGATTCGCTCAGCTTATGAAGGATGGCCACATTGTGTGGCATTTTCCAAATGGTAATGACTGTCCTATACTCAGTATGCATGGGGACAGTTCTAAGTCTCTACATGCATTAACTAACTGAGCCTCGTCCCAATCTTATGAAATAGATCCTCATTTTACAGATGAGGAAACTGAGTCTACAGTGGGTAAGAATATTTCTCAAGATCACACGGCCACTGAGGGTCGGGACCCGGGGCCGAATGGAAGCCTATCTGGCTCCATGGCCACCATCTTGAACACTCGGCAGTAATGATCTCAGTGTGCTCTTGGTGATCAGGATTTTTTTTTTTTTTTAAAGAATACAGTTGACGTTGAACAATGTGAGACCTCCTGTGCCATCGAAAATTCGTGTATAACCTCCAACTCCCCTAAAACTTAACTCATAGTCTACTGTTGACCAGAATCTTTACTGATAACATTTACAGTCAGCTGACACACATTTTGAATGTTATATGTATAAGGTACTGTATTCTTACAATAAAGTCAGCTAGAAAAAAGAAAATGTTAAGAAAACCATAAGGAAGAGAAAACACGTCTACAGTACTGTACTGTGCTTACTGGAAAATTCTGCATAGTCAAACCCACGTTGTTCAAGGGTCAACTGTAGATGTGGTTTCTGCTGACCCCTCGCTTCCTGCCTTTGTGAAAGGAGAGGGCATCGAGGCTTGCTTGCCGTTACAGTAGCTAACTCGTGCCCTTCAGAGAAATCACCGAATGCTCCCTGCCTGCCTTAGCTAGTTCTCCTTTGCTTGTGCTCAGATTGACTTTTCTTACAAACCCCTTTCATTCGAGCACCAATGGCTCGAATGAAAGTCCGGCTGAGTTCTTAGTGGCTCTTCTGGGCCAGCACTTCTGGGTTGCCTCCATGGGCTGCTCAACGTTGCAACTTGCTCCAAGATTCTGTTCCGGCTACAAAGAAAATAGAACCAGAAAACCTTCCCAAGGCAGCAGTGGTAGAGACATAAATTATCTCGGGAATGTGGTTGACCAAAGGATGTGCTCTGCTGTCCTTTCATTATCTCAGGCTATACTTTCCCTGGCTAAGCGGGTACAGCAGCTGAATTGCTCAGAGACACTACTGTAAGCTGGTGGCCCGAGGAGTTCGGCCCCTCCGTCGTCTTCCAGGTCTGCTTCTGATTCTCTGTGCAACTTTTGGGTGGGTCCCAGCCTACCCTGAGCTCCGCTAATGTACTTATGAAATGAAGGATGAGTAATTATAATGCTCTCTGGATGCATTATAATTCTGGTCACCACGCTGGATGAGCCAGGGGCAACCTTCTCCGCACCCCGCAGTGGGGCAGACCTCATGCCTGGTGTGAGTGTGCAGGGATCAGATCTGCCCCGTTTTGTCACCTACAGGCCAGTCGTCCCGGGCCTGATGCATTTCTCTGGGTAGCTCAGTTTCTTGCTCTCAGAACGTTTCACACCTCCAGTTCTTTCAAAACTCATTCAGATCTGCTACCCTGCTCCTTTTCCTCATTTTCAACAAATAAACATCCTTTTTCCTTTTCAAAAAAAAAAAAAAAGAATTAGCTCAGAATTGCCTAATCTTCTTGATATCACAATTAACCTCACTGGGTCTGTACCCAGCCTACTCTCCTTTCCCTCCTGCACAGAAGCAGCCAGTCATCCGAGCGATACCTGGGTGCCCGCCCTCTCCTGCCCTTACTGTTTCCTCCGTGAACGATAGCACATCTTTTTTTTCTCCGCCTTTATGGTTTTTCGTCTTTGTCTTGATTTTCATCAGTTTTATTATGTGCCTACATGTGGCTTTATTTAAAAATAGTTTGCCTCTGGAATCCACAGTTAATGACTTAAGGAAGTTCTAGAAGATTAGGACGACCACCCAAGTGAGCCTTCTCACTTCAGTTCTATGGCTCCTTCGGGCACAAGACCGCGTACCCCTTCATGCCATAATGTTTACATAGAGCACTTCTAAATCAAAGTACTGCAAGTGCTTTCTCTATCCCCTTCGTAAATATTTACTGAGGATCTACCATGAGCCAGGCACTGAGCTGGGTGCTGGAGATACAGTGAGGGCAGGAACGCGCAGAGAGCCCTGTGCTCTTGGAACTTCCAGTGGCACGGAGAGGTGGGTGTGACTCTCCTTCCAAGAGAATGTTCTTTTGCTTCCAGTGGACAGCTAGAGGGAAGGTAAACAGCCCTGACCCATCTGGTGTTGAGCTCGTTCAAAGCTGGGTATCAGGCTTTGTGAGGACCGCCCCATTTCCTGTGGACTCTTGCTCCTGGGAAGGAAGCCGGGTGGGGGTGGGGGGTCCCCACTGAAAGTCTGGAGGTCACCAAGCGCCTCCTCTGTGGCGGGCTCCTCCAGGAAGAAGAACTTTGGAAAGCATTTTTAAGTTTCTCAGCTGCTCAGTGAGAGCTTCCAAATCAGCAAAGCCCTTGAAGGGCAAAGAAGCATCTAGTGTGGCTCCCACTTCGCTGCATTTCTGCTTTCTCTGTGAACTTGGCGGCTCAAGCTCTTTGTGCCTTCAGGGCCCCAGACACCAGTTTTTGTCTCCCAGCCCTTGGCTTCTGAGCTCCTGTCTTCCAGCCCTGCCGGCTCGCAGGGTTGTGGACAAATGCCTCAGAGGGAGACACAGAGCACCAGCTCATGCCCCGGGGCTCCCCTAGTAGCTTGGACCCTTGGTGCTGGCTGTCCTGGCAGCCGTACGACACCTTGAAACTGTTGGGGCTTAATTCCGTTTTCTGTTTGTTCTTGGCAGAGAAGTTGCTACACTGCAACTTAACCTGACGTGGCCTGAAGTGAGGTCCCGGGACGAATGCCACGTTAATCATTGGAATTTCTGAGCCCCTGCATGCACGCCCTCCTTCTGCTCTGCCAAGCATCTCTATCATTCCTTCTTCACTCTTGGGCACCTCCCTGATTCCTGCTGTCTTACCGCTCCTTGCCTTTGTGAGTGTGAAACGTAAAGACTGTTCTCCACTCGAACGATTGTGTGGGTGTTGGCAGATCCCATTTTTCAGAGCCAGTGACTGGGTGCGGTGAAGTTAGTTGGTTCTTGGCATTAGTTAACTCAGTCTTTGGCTTCTGGGCCCCATAGAGGTTAATTCTGATGAGTTGTTGGTTTGGTTCGGTTTTGCTCTCTCTGCAGTGAGAGAGAAAGCCCCAGACTTTCGTCTTAGTTTCTTCCCAGGATGTTTTACAGCACGGAGGATCTCGCTGGGAATTAGAAGGGGAAATCCTTCAGGCTTCCCTATTTCTAGAGAGTCAGCACTGAGATTTCTGCCGGGGGATGGGGCAAATATTTAAGCAAGTGTAATAGTACGACAGCAGTGGGTTTGTCTCTTTAGGCACGGGCATTCCGTGCCACTTAGCTACATCACCTAAGCTCATAGTGCCTTAACTTATAGTGGCAGTTCTGTTTTTCATTGAAATACCCATAAAAATTTAAACAGAATTTATTGTTGTCTTTGGGCTACGTCCTTTACACATTTTATTCCATTTACTTCTTACCGTAACCCCGGGAGACGAGTATTCATTTGTCCATTTAGACTTTGACACAGCTAAGCAGTAGCAGCAGGATGCGTCGGAACCCAGCTGTATCTGATTCCCAGTGCTGGTACTAAGCACCCCCGCTCTGCTGCTTTCGGCAGGGCTGTTCCTGCCACGGGTATTATCTGCCCTCCTGAGACTTATCTTTGCAGAATTGCGCGGGAGATAATCCACTTCATCCCAACTGATTTGTGTTAAAGAATGAGATTGTGTAACCTTTATTGCTACGCAAACACCGTATTTGGGCTAGACCGGGCTTTCTGAGGATTTCCCATCTCCTTAGGACAGACTATGTGGCCACTTATTTCGGCAAAGTACAAAGTGGCGTAGTATTAACTTATTATGAGTCAGGATGCATGTTTTGTGCGAAGTTTGATTAATTTGATATCTTGAAACCAGAACTGCAACAAATACATTAACTGTGAAGTAATTTATTATATCTGTCCTTCTTGATTTCAGGCCAGTCTAATTAGCATTAACAGCACTTGTACGGAGATGGGCAATTTTGACAATGCTAATGTCACTGGAGAAATAGAGTTTGCCCTTCGCTATTGCTTCCAAACCTGTTCTTTAGAAATATGCATCAAGGCCTGTAAGAATCTTGCCTATGGAGAGGAAAAGAAGAAAAAGTGCAATCCGTAAGTTTCTTTATCTAAGTTTTGACATTAGGTGGTAGGCATATTGGGTCTAAAGTTTATATGGGAAAGTAAAAGTCCTCAAATAAACCAAGACAATTGTTTAAAAGAACAGAACTATAAAGAAAACCTATTGAGAATGATTTTAAAGCTGTAGTAATTCAAACAATGGGTTATTGATGCAAGGATAGATAAGTAGGTCGGTCGAGTGGAATCAGAAGTCCAGATGCAGAACTTGGCCTACTTGGAAACTTACAGGATTACGAACAGAGATGAGCAACTTTTTTATGCATGCATTAGACACAGAGGGTTCCCCTTTTGTGAACTTCCCATTCATATCTTTTGGCATTTTTCTACTGGGTTGCTTGCCATTTTTTAATTTATTTACAGGAAGGTTTGGTTTGGTTTGGTTTGGTTTTGCTCTCTCTGCAGTGAGAGAGAAAGCCCCAGACTTTCTTCTTAGTTTCTTCCCAGGATGTGTTTGGATACAACTCTTCATTGATTGTATGTGTTTTATATATCTTCTAGTTGTTGCTTGTTTTCTAACATTGTTTATGATGGCTTTTCTTGAAAAGAATTTGATGTCAGGGAGCCTGGGTGGCTCAGTTGGTTAAGCAACTGCTTTCGGCCCAGGTCATGATCCTGGAGTCCCGGGATCGAGTCCCACATCAGGCTCCCTGCTCGGCGGGGAGTCTGCTTCTCCCTCTGACCCTCTTCCCTCTCTATCTCTCATTCTCTCTCTCTCAAATAAATAAATAAAATCTTAAAAAAAAAAAAAAAAGAAAAGAATTTGATGTCAAATCTGTCAGTCTTCTCCTTTAAAATGTCTGTATTTTGAGTCTGTAGAAAAATTCTACCTGATGGTTATAAATATATCCTTCTCTGTTTTCATCTGTTAGGGTTTTTTCATACTTTGATCCCTTCACCTTAGAACTAGAATTGATTTTCTGTAGGCTTTTTTTTTTTTCTTACATGGAAAACTTTGAGCACACTGTTTTAATTCCCAGTCAGGGAAAGGGGATGGATCGTTGGTCCAGCCAAACTCTGCTCTGCTCGGAACCCTTCAGGAGCTCCTCAGGGCAGGACGCATGAAGTGCATCGCTGCGGAGCACTTACGGGTCTCCATAACAGTGTCCCTCTTGTCCTTCTGGTTTCTTAACTTCTGTTATTCCCCCAACTTATGCCTTTTGCTCCAGGAAAATTGGAAGAGTCGTTGTTTCAAAGCTGTCCCCTGATTTTTTCCAAAGAGAGGCTTTCCTCATGTTTCTGTTGTGACTACTTTCCCGACACCACTCCCACAGGTAGCAGTCAGTCCTGTCCATTCTTCAGACTCCTGTCCAGTCCCATCGGACAGGATGGGACATTATTCTGCCCATGACTGTTCATGCATGCTGAGGCTTCTCTTGTAGTTCTCAAAAGGACTATAGTGAGGTGGTTGAGGGTATGGACATTGAACCCTGGTCCACCATTTATGAGGTTTGACCTTGGACAAGTCACTCAACCTCTCCATACTTCACTAACACAGGGAAAATAATAGCACCTCCTTCAAAGGATTGTTGTAGTGTTTCCCGGAATTTTTCCATGTTAAGCCTTCAGAACGTTGTCTAGAACATAATAAACATTCAACAAATAGTAAGCAAGTGAGGCACAGAGTGCACAGAGAAGTAGACCTAAAACTCCACAGAGGGACCCCCCCCCCCTTGAGGCTTTGGCCAAATTCTCAGGGCTCATACAGACAAGATTTCATGAGGTCTGTCACAGCACGGTTACTGGGGTTGGTGAGCCACTGGGCGTGGCCCAGTGATGGGGCAGATGGAAGCTCTGACCTGCTGGAGCGGAGACTGCTGAACACCCCGGGGCATTCATTAGGATGCAGCTGTAGGATTTCTCTAGCCTCAGAGTAGGGGCTACTCCAACTCACCCTCCCTCAGCCAAATCAAGCCTTGATAGGGTCGAACTGAGCTGCCTGTCAGTGAAATGCCTACTAGAATATTAAGTCAATACTTTTTAAAGGAGAAACAGCCCAGAGAGGATTCTGGGAAGGTGGCAGGGTGGGAAGCCCTGGGAAGCGGTCTCCCCTTGTAAGACAATGATTGCACTGGTAGAAGCTCTCTCATGAAACGGTTTTGGAACTGCAGTCTCTTGAAGGCTTGCAACTTCCAGCGGAAGACTTGGATGGTACATTGGGGTTAATTTCAGTCAATTTCCGCTCTTAGCCTAATAGCTGCTCTCCCTCCCCCCACTCCCAGCCACATGGCAGGCAGCCCGGCTGGTGTTCCCGGAGCAGCTTACGCACCGCTTGCAGGAGTCATCGTGGGCGAATAAAGGGATTCTGTCCTCCAAATATCAGGGTTATGTGCTCTGACTGCAGACTGCCGCTTCTGTCACAGAGGTGCAGACCCAGAAGCAGGCAACCATTGTGGCAATTTCCTCCAGTTGTTGGGGTCCCTTCCCATCTGCGGGTCCTCAGGAGGATTACCAACAGATTTCTCATCAGATCCTTTAGAGGCCAGGAGGCAGTCAGTAGATATATTCAAAGTGCTAAAGGAAAAAAACAAAACAAAACAAAACAAAAACCCCACGGGTCAACCAAGAATCCTACATCCAGCAAAGCTGTTCTTCAAACGCAAGGGATAAACTAAAACATTCTCAGATAAACAAAAGCTGAGGGACTTTGTCCTGCAGGAAATACTCAAGGGAGCCCCCTGCAGGGTGCAATGGAAGGACACCGCCCGTTATCTCAAGGTCATGCGAAGAAATAGACCTCAGGAAAAGCAAATACACAGGCAATGATAAAAGCTAGTATTATTTAACAATGGTGTGTACTTCCACCTTATATATTTTTAAAAATTATTTGTCTCTTATTATAAGACCGCTGTTTGTTTGTAACTTTGGTTTGTAACTCCACACTTTGTTTTTGACCTAACTTAAGAGACCAATGCATTTCAAAGAAGGATTAGTTTGTGCTTTTGGTTTCACAGTGTAGAAAGGTGTAATTTTGTGACCTCAGCAATGCAAAGAGGTGAGTTTGGCACTAGGAAGGAGCAGAGTTTTTGTTTGCTATTGACGTTAAGATGGTAAAAGTTCAAAGTAGAGTGTTATAACTCTAGGAGATGAGATGTAATCCCCTTGGTAAGCACAAAGAAAACAGCTACGGAACATATACAAAAAGAAATGAGAATGAACTTTAAACTTTTTACCACAAAATTCAGCTAAATACAAACGAATGGGGGGTGCCTGGGTGGCTCAGTTGGTTAAACAGCTAAATTTTGGGTCAGGTCATGATCTCAGGGTTGTGAGATTGAGCCTGGGCTCCGAGCACAACAGGGAGTCTGCTTGAGATTCTCTCCCTCTGCCCCCACCCCTCACGTGTGCGCATGCCTTCTCTCTCTCTCTCTCTCTCTCTCTCTCTCTCAAATAAGTAAATCTTTAAAAAAGTAAATACAAAAGAATGACTATAGTACCACAGTAAATGGGAGACACTAAAGCTAGAAGGTATACAGAAACAAATAGCAAATGACAGAAGTCCCTCCTTATCAGTAATTACTTTCAATGTAAATGACCTAGACCCTCCCGTCAAGAGGCAGAAATTGTCAGAATGGATAAAAACACAGGGTCCAGGGCGCCTGGGTGGCTCAGTTGGCTAAGCGACTGCCTTCGGCTCAGGTCATGATCCTGGAGTCCCGGGATCGAGTCCCACATCGGGCTCCCTGCTCGGCGGGGAGTCTGCTTCTCCCTCGGACCCTCCCCCCTCTCATGTGCTCTCTCTTTCATTCTCTCTCTCTCAAATAAATAAATAAAATCCTTAAAAAAAAAAAGAACTAAGCATTTCTCTTAGAAAACAACAACAACAACAAAAAAACACAGGGTCCAGCCGTTACTGGAATCAGTAGTCCTTGGCATCACCGAAGCGGCCAGAGGAGCCAGGAAAGGGCAGTGTGAGGACCTCACTGGAGGGGTCAGTCTAGAACAGGATTTCAGGGGATGGGCAGAATGCAGGTGGAGAGGCCCCACAAGGGGAAAGTAAAGGGTGAGGCATATACTTCCTATTTTCACATTCTTTTTTTTTTTTTTTTTTTGGTGGGTTGGAGGAAGTGACAGGTGAAGGGAGGACAAGCTGACACAGGACCTCCACATCCAGGCAGGTTCTCTAACCTGCCACCCGTGGAGCCCCAGTAGCCCGGCCTCTGGATCCGTGGTCATCACCACAGGGGCAGGTAATGAGCGATTTAGATGCTAGGGGTAGGGCAGGAGGAGAGCAAGGGAGCTTTACACCCCCAGGAACATTCCAGAGGATTATGGCCAAAGACTGTGTAAGCCAGAAAGTGTGTAGCCAGCACTGTCCTTGTTCCCCACCAAGCCCTTTCTGTCAACCCCCAATCCAGGGGGAAGCAGGGTAAAGAAAATGCTGAGGTCTGATTCTCCTGCTCCCAAACACTTTGTCCCCCTGCCCCCGCCCCCCCTGCTGAGCTCTCACCTTGTCCTGTCTGTGTCTGGCCACTAGGTACGTAAAGACCTATCTGCTGCCTGACAGATCCTCCCAGGGAAAACGCAAGACTGGAGTCCAAAAGAATACGGTGGACCCAACATTTCAGGAGACCTTGAAGGTACTTGCTGGACAAATATTCATGAGCTAAGTCTCCCCGTCCCGGGCTGGGCACCCGGGGCCAGAGTTCAGCAGTGTTCTTCTAAACTTTTGAGTTAGTTAAATATAAGTACAGACACTTATACGTTTCTGTAGGGCTCTGTCAATCAGTGGCAAGTTGGTAGAAAATAAATTTCAGCCTTTGTACAGGAAAAGTGCAGAGTCTGCTGGACTCGAGAATGGCTCTTGATTAATGATTTCTGAGAAAATGGTGAAAAAGTACCTGGCTGCCTCTCAATCTCCAAAATTGGTTTGTCCAATTGAATTTTTATGACCCCCAGAGAGGTACTCTCAAGCAGGCTCCGCTGTGAACTACTGAGTTACTATCTTCACGAAAGTGTTCCTTTATTGTAATAATCTGGCAGCCCTAGGTTTCTTCGTCTTTTATGAAAAAAAAAATAGTCATCTTATGAAAAACATTTTATAGAGGAATTGTTTGGGTTTTCACTTTCTTTGGTGCTAAGAAACAGGATTTGTGATGTGGGGCAGAGAGATACGGAGCGACTATGGGGATTTAGGGTGGATGGTTGGAGACGATGTGTGGCAGAGGCCGAGACCTAGGTGTCGGAGGCTTTGCACTGGAAGAACCATCCAGATACACGGGGATGTACCCAGTCAAGGCTGGGCAGCCCAGGGACCCCACATGTCAAGCCTGCACAAGGAGAGGGCTTGGTTTGCCTTCCCTGGCAAGTAGGGGCATTTCTGAACTCCCAGCCAGGGACCGTCTGGCCACTTGGCAGGAGCCCCATTTGTTAAATAATAAAAGCCATTGTTTTCTGTGTCCCTGCTGTGGCCAAGTGACCTGAGCTATTAGAATCCTCTTTTACCAACGGGGAAACTGAGGCTTAGAGAGTATTCAGAATTACAGCTCTAACTCACGATGGACTGGCAGTCCTTCACAAGATTTATGGTCATGGGACTCCCGCAGAGGATTTTTAAAAAAACAGACTATGATTCAGCAGGTGTGGGTGGTACCCAAGGGATCCCCGTCTGAGACCCCTCTGGTAGCAAGTCAGTAGACATGGGTCATTGCGGAGTTTTGTCCGTATCTGCTGAAAGTTTTGAAAAGCTCCGTGCCCTCTCAGACATTTTAAGTTCATATCCCAAATCACTCATCGTTAAGTTTAATTAAGGTGTTTTGTACTAAACAGGTAAACAGATAGTTCACATTTTATGAAATTAGGCAAAGATGAGGACGGAGTATATTTTAGATACTATATAGTTTGATTTTTAAAGTTTTAACTACCTGATTTAACATGCAGGCAGAATCTCAAAGAAATCGCCCCCAATTTTTATCCACTGGTTTTTACCCAATATATTGTGGATATTTCGGTTGTCCCGGAAAACTTCCCAGATATATTGAAGGGAAGCCACGTCCCTCATCTCGTCTAGAGTCTAGAAAGCGATCCTCCAGGTTTTCTAGGCAGGGCGCTCCGCGGGAAGACCACCGTAGGGGGCCTGGGAAGGTGCCCGGCGACACCGGATCTGGGGTCTGTGTCCGTGAGGCTTGGGGGCTCAGGAGAGGCGGGGGCAGCCGCACAGCCTGCTGGGACCGCCCTGGGGGTGGAACAGGGCGCGGGGGGAGAAGATCTCTTTCGAAAAAGGGATTCGGTCAACCAAAAGGAGTCGTGTTTGTCGGCAGGGGGCCACCGTGTTGCGAGGACCCTTGAGAGGCAGGCCCCCTGCACGGGGTGGATGGGCCACACTCCGCCTGAGGGGGCGGCCGTGGGGGACGGGCAGCTGCCCGCCTGGGACAGTCCACGCTCAGGGGAGCAGGGGCGGTGCCGGGAGCTGGCAGCCTCGGCAACTAACTGGCCGTGTGGCCGTGAAGGGGACAACGAGACAGACTGAGCGACTCTGAGGGCAGGGTCAGACACGGACCGTGGGCGCCCGGATGGCTTGGACGGTGGAGCGGGCGACGCTTGATCTCAGGGCTGTAAGTTCGAGCCCCATGGTGGGCGTAGAGATCACGTTAAAAAAAAAAAATCTTTTAAAAAGAAATGGACCACGGACTTGAGGGAAACCGACTGAAAATCAGCCCAGGACAGTAGAGGGATGTGGCTTCTGACGACAATGGGCACGGATAGTCCCAGAGGGAAGAAAAGGAGGGGCAAGTGGGGCCTGCAGCCTGGCCCCGAGGGGGCGTTCGCAGGCCTGTGTGTGGGGGAGGGGGCAGGCAGACGCAGCTGCAGGCCGTCCCTGCTGGGGAGACCGAGGGAGACTACTCTGCTCCACACTACTCTGCTCTGTTACAACTGCTCCACACACCCGTGTCACTCCCCTCTCGGCCACCAGTGGACGGGCACAAACGGGGCGCAGATGGGTCTCAGGCAAACCAGTGTGGCCACTCTAAGTGGGGGTGAGGACTGGCAGTGTGACAGGTGGTCCCCGGGAGGAGCCAGGACGCCAACCCCAGCAGGGAGCTGCCCAGCCAGGCCTGGGCGTTTCCCCTGTAAACTGTCGATCGCTAACACTGACCTCAGGGAACGCTCCTGGAAGCTAAGGAGCAATGTAACCAAAAGCCTAGCACAGAACAAGGGTTCAGTAAAGTGTAACCTTTTTTTTTAATTGAGAAAATCCAATGAGTAGGCTTGGAACAGGCTCGCAGGGGCTGAATGGAGTCAGCAGCTCTTGGGAAGCCTGGCTGTGCCCTGGCCTTCGGGAAGGGGCTGGGGCACTCTCACCCAGGGCCTTTGGCCTCTAGTCCCCGTGGGGGCGGGGACCCACCCTCGGCTGGAACGGGGGTGGGGGGACAGACTTTCTTGTCCTCTTGCTGTGCTGAGGCTCCTGTCGGGGGACAGTGAAGAAACAGCTCCGTGTGACCCTGAGCACGAGATAGGCCTGGCATCGTCCGTCTAGGCAAAAGCCCATGCTAAAAACTCAGGCTTTACATTAAAAAAAAAAAAAAAAAAAAAAAAAAAATCCTAGCTTTCAGTATCTTTGAAAAGCCCTGGCCAGGCAAGTTCGGTTCCTAAGCTGGGACCCATCTTGGCTTCATTTGGATGGGGCCTTCCCTCCTTGCCTGGGGCACAGATCTGGATTGTGGGAGGGGGTCTCTGTAGCTGCCCAGCCTTTCCCCCAGGCTGAGTGCTGGCTACGCGGTTGGTGGAGGAGGTGGTTCTGTGTTTGAGAAAGCAGAGACCACCTCCCAACCCCTCTCCAAGCTGCTCGGCCCACCCTGACCACACCAAGATGCTGGCTCCAGCCTGCAGGAGGAAGGCCCCTGTGGCCCGGGTCCCCGGAAGCTGTGGGTCTCCAGAAGCTGTGGGTCCCTGGAAGCTGTGGCCCCAAGGGGCTCTGGACCACCCCCCCCCACCATGCCCCAGGGGGCTATGGGCCCTGGAAGCTGTGGGCCCTGGAAGCTGTGGGCTTGGGGAGCTATGGGTCCCCAGGGGGCTGTGGGCCCTGGAAGCTGTGGGTCCCGGGGGCTGTGGGTCCCCAGGGGGCTGTGGGCCCTGGAAGCTGTGGGCTTGGGGAGATGTGGGCCAGGAACCCAGACCAACTGCCTCTGCTCTGTCTTTGCAGTACCAGGTGGAGCCCAGCCAGCTGGGCACCCGGTGGCTGCAGGTCTCTGTGTGGCACCTGGGCACGCTCACCCGGAGGGTGTTTCTTGGAGAGGTGACCATCCCTCTGGCCACATGGGACTTCGAAGACAGCACAACACAGTGTTTCTGCTGGTATCCACTGAGGGCCAAGGTGAGGTCTGGTTTGGGACTGGGCTACCCCACCCCCACCCCGAAAACAAAATTCCCTTTTCAAAGGGGTTCTGGAAGAGAAAACCTACCCGGGAAGCCTTGGACCCAAGACACCACCACGTGCTTGCCTGGCTGGGGCTCTTCAATAGGAACTTCCCGGGGAGGAAAGGCTCCGCGTCAGGCTCTCCTGGGTGGGGGAGGGAGCTTTCCCTGCTCAGGTTTGCTCAAGTACCTGAGAGCCCCTTCCTCACTGTAGCCTGAACATCAAGCCTGGGTCAGGTCTAGGGGGTTGGGCCTCCTGTGATGGCCTTGTGGGCCCACGTGCGCCCCTCCCCAAATTCAGGGTCACTTGGTTGCAGCAGGGGAGCCCTCGGCTTCTGCTCCTGCAGCCGGAGGCGACCACGGGCGCCCTGCAGCCTGCCCCCAGTCATGCGGGCGCGACTGTGGTTGCTGCACTCCTGCCCCAGGCCCTCCCAGAGCAGAAATGGCTGAGAACGGCGGCCCGATGCGGTCAGGAGGGCCAGGGCTGCCGCCACCCGCAGGGACTCAGGGCAGGGCGCGGGGGCGGCCCGGAGAGGAGGCCTGCTCGCAGGCTGTGCTGGTAAGAGGAGAGCCTGGGGAGAAAGTCTGCATTTCTTGGAGCAACTGCTTTGCACTTTCTGGGCCAAGATCCAAGCACAGAGCGGAGAGGGGACCGGGGACGGATGAGATTAATAGGGGTGGAGGAAGCGTGGGCTCCTTCATCTCCTAAGAAATGACCATGCTGTGCCAGTCCCACCAGCCAGAGGCTGAGGCGTTCCCAGGCCTGGGCCAGGTTCTGTGCGCTGTCTCACCTCCGCGGGCCTCTCTGAAGCCAGGGGGGCTGATCGGCCGGCTCTCGGATTTCCAGCTACTGTCGGGTCAAGCCAAGGATCGCCTGCCGGGGAGCCGCCCTGCCCCACCTCTCCTGCCCCTTTCCCTCTACACTGCTCTGCACGGCCCCGGCGTCTGCATCCCGCACCCGTGCCCCCCCTTCTCAGAGCCCGTCCTCAGACGTCCATTTGGGACGTCTACTTGGAATGCTTTCCTCTAGCCACGGTCAGCCCAAGACTGAGCCGAAATCCCACCTCCTCCATGAGGGCTTTCCCGAATCTCATTTTTCGTGATTTTCCCTGCCAGTGTGCTTTCCCCCACGATCCGCCCATCTGTTCCCTCTAGGGCCTTGCTCAGGACAAGACCAGTGGCCACCGAGGCTGCTGGCGAGAGGAAGAGGAGAAGGTGCCAGGCTAAAGGACGTCCTTCCTAACACCGGCTAATAGATAGTGACCCCCCCTGGCTGGATTGGGAGTATCCTGCTTCCAGGCCTGCCCCCTCGGCCCTGACAGGAGGAGCCCATGGGGTTAGCGCAGGTTTGCGGAAGCTGAGGGTAGAGACAGCTTTATCTCATCTGGCACCCGAGGGCCAGCCTCCTTCCTGGGAGGCAGCCAGGAGCCCATGAAGAGACACTGCGGAGCAGACAGGGGCCGGCCCCCCCCTCTCCTAGGAGTCCTTGCGGAGGCCACTGACCTACAGGGGCTTGATTTTATTCCCTTTCTTCGAAGAACACTGGCTGTGTGCAGGTTTTCTGAGGACTATCCTATGGGAACGTGCCAGGGCCTTTGAACCCCTCACCTCCTCAAGGGATGGGGTGGGAATGGAGAGTCCCATCAACAGGAGAGAGACCAGTCCTGCCATGGCCGTGTCCACTCCACCCCAGGGCACTCCCCAGCCTGCAGAAGCTTTGCAGGGGTGAGTGGGGGGTGGTGGTGGAGGTGGGGCACTTATGGACAGAGCTGGGGCAATCAGAGGAGCCCAGAAAGTTCCGGGGGCTGAGGAATCCTGCCTCTGAGTTCTGTCTCTTGCCCCCAGGCAGAGAAACTTGAAGACAGCATTCTTCCCAGTAATGGAGAACTTGCAGTCCGGGCCAAACTGGTCTTCCCTGCAGGGCCCAGAAAGCTCCAGGAGGCCCAAGAAGGTAGGTGGCCTCCAGCCCCATGACTGTTCATCTGTCACCGTTTCCCAAGCCTGGAGCAGCAGGTGGGTTGAGGACTTCCTTTCTGCCACCCACTAATCCTGCAATGCTCCAGTAACTTTCAAAGATCTGTGAAGCTCAGCCTGGAACGTGGGTTCTTGGAACCTACGGTTTGGAAGGGAAATGAGGGAGCAGAGCAGGCCAGGCCTCTGATGCCCACTGTACAGGGAGGGCTCTTAGGACACCAGCTCTGGGGCTTTCCTCCCAGGGGGCTGGCTCAGACCGTCTCCCTGGTGCAAACCGTCCCGCTGCCGCCCCTCTGGGAGAGGGAATGCTCCCATGCTCGCCTGCGTTACAGTTGGGGGTGTGGCTCCTTAGGAACAAACCTAGAGTGCATTTTGAGGCGCTGGGGCCTGCAGGGCCGAGTGAATGTACCCCTGCTCCCAAGTTCTGTGAGCTGTTGCCCAGCAAGAGAAGGCATCAAGGACAGGCTCTGGAGGACCTTATGGGAGGTCTAACTAAGTGAAATAAAGTGGAACGTACGGAAGAGAGGAGGGTGAAGAAAGAATACACAATTCTGTGATGTAGTTAGAGATCTCTTATTTGCCTGAAGAGGAAAGTCTGCTTCCAGAGCTCACGGGGCCACCGGCATCTGCAGTCATTGCCAGCGCCCTAGAACACGTCTTAGGGCCCCTACCTCCCCCAAAACCACTGCCCGCACTTGACCGCAACCTCTACAGCATTCCTCTCCTTGGATCCCTCTTTCTTATCTTTGTAGCTTCCCAGGATTTTAGTGAGCCCTCCCTCCTCCCACCATGCCGGCCTTGCAGCGGGACGGCACGTTTGCAGGGCCAGCGGAGCCTTCCCACCTGGATTTGCTCCTCTTCCCATCTGCTGTTCTTGGGCTCTCCAGGCTGTCACACACCCTCCCGCTGAGCTTTCAGATTTGGGGTGGTGGCATTGCATGCTCTGGGCAGAAGTAGGGCTCACAGCAAATGCCAGCTTTTCTTCCAGGGACAGATCGGCCGTCCCCTAACGGTCAGCTTTGTTTTGTCGTGCTGGGAGCCAAGAATTTGCCCGTGCGGTCAGATGGTACCCTAAACTCATTTGTTAAGGGGTAAGTATTATATTTAATCAATTGTTTACTGATAATCTGTACATGCATGTGGCATGGTCTTAGAAAGTACAGCAAACACCAGGAAGTGTAAGCCATTCAGAACTTGTATTTTAGCTTTCCCATGAAAATCCAATGTAATGTGTTCAAGATCTCCAAGAATTCATGGGATTTGGACCTGCTGAGACTAGATGTGGAACACTGTATTTTAACCTGAAACCCAGATTTTATTGGTTCTTGTTACTACATCAGTATTTTCTGACTCAAAACAGCTTGGAAAAAGCAGTGTGGCTGGTACTATTCCCTTGCCTTCGCATCTCCTCTTGGATTAACAGTAAGGTGGGCTCTGCTTAGGTCATTCTAACTCACTACCAGCGTGTTGGTGTCTCCAAAAGCAAAGCAAACACCATTAATTATTATACAGAATTGCTGCAGCCCTGGGTCAGTGACATGATGGGAAACCCTGGCTTCCCATGCCAAGATCTGTGTTCTGTCCGCAAGCTGCCATTTCGTAGGACCTCGGGCAAGTTACGTGGCCCTTCTGAACTTGTCTCCTGAGAACAGGGTTAAAATGAGAGAATGTGTGTGCAAGAGTCCTGGTCCCTGGAAGCATGTAGGTGCTCGGCCTCCCAAGGAGGGGGATTAAGGCAAGGGCCATGTGGCCTGGAATCCCAAATGACCCTTCGCATCTGGTGCAGAATTCAGCCCTAACTCTGGAACATCCTAGCGAGAGGTCACATGGCCGATCTTGAGATTTGCGTTCTTGCTCCTGGCTTGGAATTTTTCTTTGGGAGCGGATCTAGCCCTTGGTCTCACGATGGCCAGCACTGCAGCATCGCCAGGGCAGGAGGTTGGGCCAGCAGTCCAGAGCCACTGTCTCTCCTTCCCGCAGCTGCCTCACTCTGCCAGACCAACACAAACTGAAACTGAAGTCCCCAGTTGCGAAGAAGCAAGCTTGTCCCCAGTGGAAGCACTCCTTCGTGTTCAATGGTGTGAGCCCTTCCCAGCTGAGACAGTCAAGCCTGGAATTAACCGTCTGGGACCAGGCCATCTTTGGTGTGAACGACCGCTTGCTGGGGGAAGCCAGGCTCGGTTCTAGTAAGTCTGAGAGATTTATTGGGCCTAAGTGGTATGTTTTGTCCTTAGCGAAGATCTTACACGGTGACCACTAAAAAGACAATTATGCTTCCACGTTGGCAGGTGATATAACTAGCTTGGAAACAGCCTAACTCACTGTTAAATGGAGATTGCGACATCTAATTCTTACTCTACAAGGGAGTGATAATACAGCCAAGTATTTCAACAATTTATATCAGATTTAGATCTGCTAAAGAAACAAAAATTACAGGGTACAGTTATTTGCTTTTGTTTCTGGCGTCAATCATAAAAGGATTAACTTCTTCAAGGAAAATATCTTAATCCAAACAGATGGCAATTCAGAAAGTATTTCATTAAGAGTGGGACAAAAGGGCGATGCTTTTCAGCATTGCTCAACTGGGGTGCTGGTGGCATGGTGTGGGGGACAGCCCTTTGTGGGGAGGGCTTGCACACCCTGGCCCCTACCAGTGGTGCCCCTCGAACACTGTGCCAACCAAAAATACCTGCACACATCTCTAGGACCTCCAGTGGAGGACCTCTGAAGACAAACCAGATTCAATGTTCAATCAAAAGGAACGTTGTCCAGAGATGCCTGTGGGTGGCTCAGTCGGTTGAGCATCCAACGCTTGATTTCAGCTCAGATCCTGATCTCAGGGTCCTGGGGTCCGGCCCTGGGTCTGGCCCCCTGCTCAGCAGGGAGTCCGCTTATCTCCCTCTGCCCCTCCCCCAGCTTGTGCTCTCCTTCTAAAATCAATGGGTAGATCTTTAAAGATAAGCTAGAAGGAATATTGTCTAAGGACACACACCCCCTTCCTATAAGGGAGTCCTGTCTTGTCTGCATATCTGGCCCCAGGTCTGAGGCCACCCCACCAAACCACAGCCATTGTAATGTGTTAAGACTGTCAAGTCCCCTTCTTGAAGAGCCCACCCCCCGCAAACATGTTTTCTCCTTTCAAACTATGGGAAAGAAGGCAGCTTTGGGCTCTTGCAGCTGCACAGCATTTAGGAATGAATGCCCGAGTGTGTCCAGTTCTGAGTATGGTGTTGGGTGGGGGTGGTCTTGCTCTTCCTCACCAGTGGTTGGCATTTTCGTATGGTCTTGAGGTTAAAAACACTTTAAAAGTTGGTCCTCATTTTAGAAAGCTGAGAAGAGGGCTGGTAAGGGGGTATGCCTATCACCCATTACTAATTAGTCACTTCACTCCCATCACAGAGGAAGACGGAGCTGCTGGTGAGGACTCAGGCTCACCGTCAGAGCGTCAGTGGCAGAAAGTTCTTTCTAGCCCCAATCTGTGGACAGACATGACACTCATCCTGCACTGAAGCCAGGGTTCCTGTCTGTGGCGAAAGGGTCAAGTGTCGCTAGGCCTGACAGTTAGCTGAAGCCGCGGGCATGGACACTCACCCTCTGCAGCTCTGTCCCAGAGCCCGAATGTTCTTCCACATCCCTGTGTAGAGCACTTGTTGCTATTGTATAAATAAAGAAGTCTCAGTTTGGTTTTCTGTGCTTTGAGACATGTGGAAAATGGCCAGATTTCAGTAAATGTTCGTTACCTCTGTCCCCCAGCACCTGTCAAACACTGAGGATTAGAGCCCTGTTATATGCATTTGAAGAACTAGAGCCTGGTTCTGCTTTCTGGAGGGGCTCCCCATGCAGCGCCCAGGTCCACCGGAGAGCCCGCAGGGCCCCCGCCCCCGACACGCGCCAGTACACAGCCACGGCCACCTCTTGTCTTGCACAGCTTTTATTTCTCAGGTCTGTGGTGCAGGGCTCACCTGCACACGGCTCTTACCCAAGCATGAGAAGGAGCCGGTGGAGTATGAGAGCTGACATTTTGACAGGTTTTTAAGGATGCGGTAGAGAACTGGTGAGGTCAGAACAGGTTCTTCTTGTGGAAACAGAGGGGCTTCGAAGAGTCCCTCTAGAGCTGGAGTCTGGATGAGCCAAACAGCGTGTGTTTTTCAAACAAGCTCGGACAGAAAACTGAAATGCGCACAATTACAGGCACGAGGGCACTCAAAGTAAAAAAGTTTTTTTTACAGATGTGATTACAGCTGTTAAGCCACCTCCTTACTGCCCTCACTTCAGATCAAGTGCCGTGGTTACAGGGTTTTTAATACATAATTCTTTTATTCTGTAAAAGGTAACAAAATATACAGAATGAAACTTTCCTTTTAAACTAACGTTACAAACCCATTGTCACTTACATATAAATACACTTCTCTACAGCTGATCATTAATTAGGTGTGAGTCCAACAATGCCCTCTGTTAAGCAACCCCCCCCCCAAAACCAACAAAAGTTTATCCAAGGCTGGAGTGTCCTCCCTGCACTGTTGATCCTGAACTGAAAGAGCAGAGAAGAAAAATCACCGTGTGCATGTGTGTGTATGTGCTTTAGACCGTCTTCAAAATAATTTTCACCTCTCAAAACATAAATATACAAAGACGGATCCTTCATGGAAATCAAAATCAATTTGAGCTAATTTCAGATGCAGAAGAAAGTATGGCACGGACTAGAAGCCCCGATGTGGTTTTACTGACGCTGAACCTCGTGTCTCACATGTGCCAGCATCAAGTCTGTTACCCAGACTTACAGGCATCTGTCCTTAATTCAGTCAGTCCTGCTGTAAGCACAAACAGGAAGTGATTCAATAACAGCAATAAAAAAAAAAAATCAGGCCTGTTTGACACTATGATACAATTGGGAAAAATAAACCAGGGAAGCTTCCACTGACCCCAGCCCCAGAATAGTCCCACTGCAATAACTACTCTCTTTTTAAAGGAACTGGAATATGATGGGGGGTGGGGGTCCTAGATTCAAAGAACTACAAACACCAGCTTCAGAGATTGACCGCGACCCCCCCGCAAGCCTGGCCATGAGGCCCCCACCCCTGCCCCAGTCCTGGCCGGGCCTCACATGGCCTCGAACTCGTCGATCCGCTGCTTGGTGTTGCCCTGCCGGATCTGCCGCAGCGTCTTGTACTTGTCCCGGCCTTGCCGCATGTTCTCGTTGTGGATGATGTCGTTGTGGGTCCTTTTGTTCTCATCTCTGGCCTGGGACAGCTCATTGGTCAGGGTCTGCAAGGGGAAGCAGCTCTGGTCAGGTGTGGCCCAGGAGCAGCGGGGAGCTGGGTGGGACGGCTCCCCTCCCCCCAACCCCCGCCCGGGCCACCCCCGCCCGCCCCGGCGCCCTCACCATCAGCTGCCGCTGCACCCGCTCGTTCTTCTCGGCCTCGGTGATGCGCTTCTCCTCATTGCGGTCATCCAGGATGCCCTCGCTGGAGAGCTCAGCGCTATAGCCCGTGTACTCCGTGCCCTCGTCCTGCAGGTTGTCCTGCACGTGGTAGCTCACCGGCTCGTAGACAGGGGGCGGGGGGGGCGGGGGGGCTGTCATCACTAGGTGCAGCTCCTCCTTGGTCTTCACCAGGTCATCTTGGGCTTCTTTGGCCTTTGAAAGCAATCCGTACACAGAACCCAGTGTTGAGACCATTTTCGGGAGAATCCCCTTTTCAATGACAAGAAGGCTTCTGCGCCTTCTCCCGGGCGGGCTGGACGCATGTGGCCTGAGTGGCACAGAGTGGGGTGGGGGGTGGGGGGCGCGCATGGCTGAGGAGAAGTGTCCCCACGCAGCATTTGCCCAACCTTCTTCCGAGTCTGGGGCTCTGGATCCTGTCAATAGTTCTCAACTGCGCTCTCAAGCACAGAGGCAAAGTCATGTCAGGGACCTTTTTTTTTTTTTTTAAAGAACCATAACTTCTTTTTTTCTGTTTCTAATTCTAGGATATGTTCACTGTATGTGTTTTTTTTGGGGGGGAAAAGGAAATTATGAAAGAAAGAAAAACGCTCCAGCCATGAGAAAATGCCACTGCCCAATATTAAGAGTACAGCCTTGTTCTCCTTCCTCGTGCGGCCGCCATTTCTGAGGCTTCTCGCCGCCTGGCACAGTGCTCAAGCACTGTCCTGCCTGTTGTTACCCCTAAACCTTCCAGCAGCTTCTCTTGGGTACACATCCCTAGTCATGCCCACCTCACTGCCATTCCAACCTCGGAGATGAGCTTAGTTTGAACCTGTTCTGCAACCAGCTTTTCTCAATGAACGCTTTCTCCAAAAACCTAAGGACAGAACCAAGTCCTTCACGCACAGCCTGTGTTCAGGGAGTGCGGCGTAAGAGTGGTGAGGAGGCGCCCCAAGCGTCCCCAGAAGGGGCCAGTGCAGATGGCGAAGCATGGGCAAGGACAGGTGGGAGGGGTGGGGAGCGGCCTCAGCTTGGCAGAGGTCTACACTGAACATAACCAAAGCTCCCCTGGGGACCGTGCTTTCCTGGTGGGCGTGGGGGCTCAGCTGGAGAGACGGGCTCTCTGGACACTGCACTGGAACATGGGTCTCCCAATTACAGCTACAGTTTATTCAAGCTCTCTGCAGGGTGGTCCCCAGAACCTTATAGGGTGGCTATTACTCCCCATCTCTAACAAGGAAACGGAAGCTCAGAGAGATTAGGACACTTGCCCCATACACAATGGATGAGAGCAGAGTTGGGAGCCTTGTCCCCGGTCTTGAGACCTCCAAGTCCAGATGTTTCCATGGTGCCATGCTGCATACACCAGTGGTCAGGAGAGATAGGAGGTCTTGTTTGAGGTGCTGTGGCCTGTTGCTGGGAGCACCCACGTGACCAGATTAAAAGCTAGCTCCTGATGGGGGTTGCATGATGGGGCTCAACGGTTTGGGGTGGCCAGAACAAGTGGGTGCAAATGAACAAGAGGCTCCTTGGTCCCTGCTACTCCAACAGTGGATTCCCCAGTGCACAGAGCAAGCCTATTCCTATGTGGATTTCAGCCTAAGAAGCACAGCTGGGATTGGCAGAACATTGCACAACATCCTGAGCCTTCCCCTGCGACCCCTCCAGCCTGGCCCCAGGCCGTCTTCCCCGCCCTGAGCACCTGCACCTGCAGACTCACCCTGTGCTGCCACTCCTCCACCTCGTCCTCCTTGCGCCGCCGTGCCTCCTCCAAGAGGGCGATCTTGGCCGTGTACTCGGCTAGCTCTGCGGCCTGGTGAAGGGCACGAAGCTGAAGTGATTTCTGGGGTCTTTGGGGGAGAGCCCTTTTGCAAATGGACAGCCACATATTTTGCTCGTCCCCACCTCCTCCCCATTCAGCAGTGCCCATGGCTGCCCACCGAGTCCTCAAGGCCATGCCTTGCCCAGACGCCCACGTCTGGCCTCCCGGATCGCTGCACCAAGGCCGCCTGAGCCACCCCCCGCCGCCAGCACAGCCCCTCCCACCAGGCTTTCCTCCCTCGAGCAGATCATCTTACAGCCCCGGACACCATTATAAGGCAGGTGTCACTTTTTGGCCCCCCGAGGCAGCCTCTCAGTAATTCAGCACTGTGCGACTCTGGGAGCCCTACCAGCTGCTCCTGGCTCTTCATCTGATCTGCAGCCTGCCTCTGCAGCTCCTCCTTGGCCCGCAGAGCGGCCACGCGGTCAGCCTCCAGGCGCTCGGCCGCCTCCTGGGCACGCTGCCTCTCCTCCTCCAGCTGCAGGGCTCTCTGAATCTGGTCTGAGAGTTCTAGAGAGAGCACAGGGCCCTGAATTCCCAGCCTGGATGCCTGGCATGGGATCCAGGGCGGGACTCACAGCACAAGCTACAGAGCTACAAACTCTGCTTCTACGGACAACAGAGAGGAAAGCACACTGTGGTGCGTTCCCTGCTGTGCATACAGACAACGTCCTTGCGGCAGTTATAAACTGCTAGAGAGGGTTTCCCCCTCCCCCGGCCAGGGCAGGTTGGCAGACATGCAGAAACCACACCACTCACCCAGTTTTTAGCTTATAAGACAGGAGGCAACGTAGCATGGTTTGGGCACTCACTGGCTGTGCGACGTCGAGCAAATTAATTTCCCTGCTAAACCTTAACATCGTCATCAGGAAAATGGGGATGACTCAGTACTAACCTCAAAGGAGTAAGGGAAAATTTAAAAAAAACAATGTGCATAAAGCACTTAGCACAAAACCTGCACAGCATCAAAAGTATCAAGATAATCAAAAGATTATCTTCTAATCCAAACACCCCTGGTCAGCTCTCAGCCTCGAGTCTCTACCGTGGCTGCTGTGTTAAGCTGAGACGTCCCCGGCTGTGGGTGTGCTGATGGTCCATCTACTCCTCGCTGTGGAATGCACCCCTGCATGCATAAGCACTGGGCACAAACCCACCTTTCTCTGCCTTCTTGGTTTTCTGCTCGTAGTCCTGCAGCCTGAGCATCAGCTCCTCCTTCTCCCGCATCATCTGCTCCTTCTCTCTCTCCACGGTCTCTCTCCTCTTCTTCTCGGTCTCCAGCTGCTGCCTGTTACAGGGCGAGGGGTGGCGCAGGAAGGTTTAGGCACACACCTGCCATGTCAACACACATCGCCAGTGCCCAGTCCAGGCCCCAGGCCCCACCGCCGGATGGTATGGACTCAGGAGGCAGCAAGAGCAACCCCGAGCACTCCCCTCCCGGGCTCTGCCACCGCCCAGCCCAGTGAGGCAGCC